TGCATGTGCTTGCTGGAGAGGAGAGAGACAGTGAGAAATCATCCCTCCCAGCGAGGATGGCCACACTGTAATCCTTTCTCCTCCATTCTCCTCCTGGGATTTTGGGCATGCATGCACACGCACCCAGTGTGATTTTCAAGGCCCAAGGTCCAGGACTCAAACTGCAGTCAACCATTTAGAGTCCAGTGCTATAACCACTACACTACCTGCTGGCTCTAGGAATGTGGTTTTTAACTCACTAGCTGGGTGACCTTAGCCAAGTCTCTCAGACTCTCTGGATTTTGCTTTCCTTATCTATAAAATTAAGGGATCAGACTGGTTGATCTTTAATTTAATTTGTAGTTTCAATACCCTGGGTTTTTTAATTTTTCAACACTTCTTCATGCAATTATTCTCTTTTTTTTATCAAAGGAATTACTTATTTAATTTTATTGATTTATTTTTAACTTGACCAGATAGAGAAAGGGAAAGTGAGAAAGCAAACTGCCAGGTCTGGAACTCGAACTGCTGTCAGCCATGTAGGAGTCCAGTCCCCTAAACACCATGCCACCTGCCCACCCCTTCGTTCTATATTTTTCTTCTTTGTATCCCTGACACACCAAAGAAATCAACTAACATATATTGTGAACCAATTGCTCCTAAGTCATCTATCTTGAAAATTCTTTCGGGGGCCAGCAGATAGTGTATTGATTTCATCACTGGACTCCCACATGGCCAGCCACAGTTCAAGTCCCAGACCTGGTGGCATATGAGCACATGTGCCCAGGATCTCAGGAGGAGAAGTGATTGTGGCATGGCCATCTCCCTCGTCTCTGTCTCTTTCTCTGTCCAGTGAGTCCACACGTTCTAAAAAAAAGAAAGAATGTTCTTTTGGGAGCAGCAGCTGGTGTGGTGCTTAAGGGTGCTGGACTCCCACATGTCCAACCACGGTTCAAGTCCCACACCTGACAGCTTGCTTTCTCACTTTTCCTCTCTCTCAGTCTGCCCCTCTCTGGTCAAATTAAAATAAATAAAGTTAAATAAAATAATTATTAAAAAAAATTTTAAATTCTTTTGGATTCCATTAGTCTATAGAGATGACCACAGCTCAGGTCTCATCGGCGATGCCCTGACTCCAAACTTCCTCCACGTGATCACTCCCTCCCCTCCCAGCCTTCTCACACCTCCCACTCCTGGACACCTCCTAGTCTCAAGTCTCTTGACTCCTCTCTGGTTTCTTTGCTTCCCTGAGCCAGCTGGATAAAGACTTCCAACATTCACTCACTAACACTCCAGACCAATGATTTTCAAAGTGAGGTCCCCAGACCAGCATGAGTTGGAAACTTATAGGAAATACAGTATCTCTGGCTCCACCTCATGCCTGCTCAGTCAGAAGTTCTGGGAAGGACTTCAAAAACCTGTGTGCGTTTTCTTTTTCTTTTTCTTTATTTCTTTTCCTTTTCCTTTTCCCTTTTCTTTCTTCTCTTTCTTTTTTCTTTCTTTCTTTCTTTCTTTCTTTCTTTCTTTATCTTTTCCTTTTCCTTTTCCCTTTTCTTTCTTCTCTTTCTTTTTTCTTTCTTTCTTTCTTTCTTTCTTTCTTTCTTTCTTTCTTTCTTTCTTTCTTTCTTTCTTTTTCTCTTCCTTCCTTCCTCTCTTTCTTTTCTTTCCTAATTTGCTACAGTGCAGATGCACTTGCCAGAGAAAGGGGGGGGGGAGCACTCCTCCAGAGTGGATGGCCATGCCAAAGCCCCTTGTCCATTCTGCTCATGAAATCTTGGGCATGCATGTACACATACCCAGGATGTTTTTCAATCCACTCGGTCCAGATCTCAGACTGCAACCAGCCATGTGGGAGCCAGTGCCTTAATAACCACACCACATGGCTGGCCCAAAAATCTGTGTGTTTTCTACAGACTTTCCTAGAGATTCAGATGTAAGAGTTATTGTCCTAGACTAGTCTGGTCCTTTAGCTGTCACTAGCCTTGGATAACTCTACTTCAATGTTCTCTGTTTTTTTTTTAATAAATTATTTTATTTTGTTTTATTTACTAGTATTATCTTTTCATTTGACCAGAGAGAGACAGAGAGAGAGAAAGTGAGAAAGCAAACCACCAGGCCCGAGACTTGAACCACAGTCGACCATGTGGGAGTCCAGCATCTTAACCACCACACCACGTGTTGGCCTCTCAATGTTTGATTTTATGCGTAAGGAAGGACTATATGGAATAAATAAGGGGTGGGAGGAAAACCCTACATTTTGATCTCTTGGCCTGGTTTCTGTGCAGCGCAGGTGAAGAGCAAAAGCATCCAGCAACTCCCCCTTCCCCCTCCCAAGATCAGCTCAGTCCCTACTGCAGGATAATATAAAGTTAATACTGTCCCTTACTGCAGAAATGCCACCGATGTTGCAGGGTCAGAGTCAGAAATCAGCCACTTCTGAGCCTGAGCGACACAGAAATCCTAAATCCTTGACAGCTCCACAGCCTGTACTTCCTCCTACATGTGTTATTTCACAGTTTTCTAGAAGGAAGTCACAGTCAGTAATTTCTCCCTTGGTAAATAAGACTCAGTGTCAGAACAAGTGTCCACTTAAAGAACCCTATTCTGCCTTCTGGGCAATCCTGGTATACCTAAGCTTGTCTACACCTGCGGTTTCTTAAAGGCTCCTGATGTCTCGCTTTCTGGCCCTTGGGGATCCTCCGATCTCTACCTGTGGTCTTGTTTACCTGAGATATGCTCCCGCTCTTTCATAAACAAGACTCTGATCACATTGGCAGCCGTGAGTAGTAATGTGGGGTCGCACATCTGCAGCAGCAACAGGGTGTAATTTGCCTTAGTCCGGTGGGTGCTGTTCCCAAACCAGTACAAGATCTCCTTCATCTTCTGTTCTGCCTTTTTATCCAACATCTTGTTCAAGGAGGACTTCACACTTTTCCCCTCCTTCTTAAGGGGGGCCATCCGGGATCGGTGGTAGATGAAATCTTTTCCCTGAGTGGTCTGAAGGATCGTTTGGAAATAGTGTAACAAATATAAGCTATTTAACTGCTCTAGGATGCTCACGAGAAATCTCCTCTTTGATATCTCACTGACCCTTCGGAACCACTCTTTGGTAGAGAAGATCTTCCACGCGAGGATACAAGTCTCACACTTCTGGCACACAGGGACCGCATCATTTCCTTTCTCACAACGAAAATAGGGAGCGTTCTTGAGCTTTGATTCCAGGTTTTCCATGACCCCGAGACGACCAGTTCATTTTATCCTTGCCTGTTAGTAATTCCACCAAACACCAGAGGAGCAAGACAAATGGCGAAATATCCCAGCTCAGACTTTTCTGTTATAAACATCTCCTGGAGAAAAAGGGCTGCGATGGGTGGATGGAAAACAGGTCTCCCAGAAACTGCCGGTAGAAGTCTGGCTTTTTGTACTGACCTCCTTGGAAACATGGTTTTACCGTAAATCTCCTAAACTTGGCACTGCGAACATGGAGGCAGTTACCGTAGATTTTGAAAGAGCTGGTCATCTTATTTTTAGAACAATAATACTGTTAGACAAATTTAAGTAAGATATTGGCCCCTTTTAAAGGGAAAACAGAGTTGGCAGGTGGCGTGGTTGTTAGGATACTAGAATCCCACAGGGCTGACTCTGGTTCGAGTCCCAGACCTGGCAGCTAGCTTTTTCACTCTCTCTCTCTCTCTCTGGTGAACACATGTGTCCTGTATCATACGTGCCCAGTTTAAACTCACGCTGGGTGCATGTGTGTGTGTGCCCAAGATCCTGAGAGGAGAATGGAAGAGAAGGGATTGCGGTGTGGCTATCCCCCCTGGGGGGGGTGATTTCTTGCTTTCTGCCTCTCTGTCTCTCTCTGTCTTTCTGGAGAGCGCACTCGCCCTATAGCAAAAACCTATAAATAAATAAATAAATAAATAAAAAGAGAAGCTGGATCCCCTGTGACGACTGCAGTTTGAATCTCTAGCTGAGTCAGCCTGAAACATGCCTGCAGAGGTGCCCAAGATCTTAAAGACTGGGGGACAGGAGGAAGGAGCTCGCCCTGTGACTAGACCCTGAGAAGGATGCTCATCTCTCTCCCTCTCTCTCTCACTCTCCCTCTCATTTTCTGTCATGCATGTCATGCAGCATAAATTTTAAACAATTTTAAAATGATAATAAAAAAGAATGCTCACTTCTGCTGTCCGTTATGTTTCAGAAAGAGACAAGGGGCCCAATGGGCTTTATAAAATATTTAATAGCAGTGGGGCCAGCAGGAGACATATCAGTTAAGGTGCTGGACTCCCACATGGTCAACCACGGTTCAAGTTCCAGACCTGGTGGCTTCCTTTCTCGCTTTCCCTCTTTCTTTCTCCCTGTCTGTAGTGAGCACATGTGCCCTGTAGCAAATTTAAAAATAATAATGATAAATAAAGTGACGTAAACAATTTTTTTGAGAAATTTTTGCTGTAAGTTGCGTGGCTCACCAGACAGATAGAAAATGAGAAATCACCTCCACCCCGCACCGCCCCGGTGGGATATGGCCACACTGAAATCCCTTCTTCTCCATTCTCCTCTTGGGGTTCTGGGCATGCATATACAAGCACCTGACATAAGTTTCAAGTCACTAGGTCCAGGACTTGAACTATAGTTGACTATGTGGGAATCCAGGGCTGTAACCAGTACCTCATCTGCTGGTCCCAGAATAAACAATTCTAAAAGCAGCCGTGGCAACCTCTTGGTGGTCCTGAATGTCTGCACTGCACATCTGTCTGCCATGGTTGGATTCAAGCCAGGTGGTGGGCCTCACCAGAAACATCCTTCCAAGATCACACCAGGGTCCCTTCATTTCAGCCGGCTGCAACATGGGAATGGTTTGCAGGCCCAGCCAGGGCACCTCTTTCTGGAACTATGAGGAGCAGGGCAGCTCCTTGGTGAATGGCCAGGACCTGGGGTGAGCACCGGTGATCACCACTCATCCACAGCTCTGACCCTCCTGTGCTGTTCCGTGACACCAGCAGGGGGCGCATGAGCATGCCTTTGCTGCCCTGCCTGGCATGCGTGAGTGTTCTGCTTGCAGCCCTCAGCACCCACCACAGTGAGGGTGGATTGCTTTTCCTGTAGGACCTCCCTGAAGAGGCATCTGAGGAGCTCCAGGTCTATAAGGGGCCAGGTCCATGGAGGAAAACGCTCTCGTCCCTGCCCTGAAAGCTGAGGAGACTTGCCAGAGTTTCTCTTCATCGAAATTCCTTCTTTGGAGAAACATCTGCACAGATGCAGAGAGGGGAGAGACATATACAGTCATGTGACTTTCCAGTTGAATGATTTGTGAACACAACCAGTCCCAGAACACGGGAAATGTTGTAGGTTCCTCCCTTTCACGTGCTTTATTACTTTTGTATTGAATAAAAAATATTTAATAGCAAATGCAACCAAATGCTAATGCTTGGTGAATGTGGATGAAGAATATGAGTATTTATTGTTCCATTCTTTTTACTTTTTATGGCTTTGAATTTTTAAAAAATAACAGATAAAGTTGGGAGGAGGGGAATCACCATAATTGTTCACTATAGAACAACAGTCTCCCAACTTGTCCCGCAGCCAAAGGGCCTATCAAACATCAGGTAGCCCCAAAAAGGGTTTCAAGGGCACACAGACAAATCTATGTAGAAAAGACTAGGTTTGAATGTGGACTAAGAACTTGAGAGCCACATGGTCTGGAGCAAACTCTCTATCCTCTGGGATCCTCGGTTGTTCTTACCTTACGAGGATGGACAAGATGAAGGTGGATAATAAAAATTATAGCTACCTTCTTTCATTTCATTGTCAGAAAGCGTGTGCACTACTCCAGAGAGATAAAGTACCTTTCAATGGCATATCATCATACCACAATCCTTTTTCTCCCCTTTCTTCATCCTATGAGGATTTTAGACACACAAGCACACATATGCCCCCAGTATGTCTTTCAGATTGCCAGGCTCAGGATTCGAACCACAATCTGACATGTAGGATCCATCTCCCAATGCACGGGGTTTAACTACTGTGTCACAGGACCAGCCTACAACTACCTTCTAGGATTAGATAAGATGAAATGAGATAATATAAAATCAGCTGTTGCTGCTGTTGTTGCTATTATTATTAATATTCTAGAAAAAAGCAAAAAGTTTGCAACACTGTATACGTTTCTGGCCTTCATGTCTGAAGACCAGGCACAAGTAAAGAAAGGCAATGGAATGGCGCCATGGAGGGGAAGAGGCATTGAATGGCGCCATGGAGGGGAGGAGGCGTTGGTTGGAAATGACAGTTGCATACTGTACTGTGGTGAGGAGGAGGTGAGGGATGGGAATCAGGTTAGGAATGAGATCGATTTTTTTTTAGAATTATTTTATTTAACTTTATTTATTTTAATTTGACTAGAGAGGAATGGAAAGAGAAAGCGAGAAAGCAAGCCGCCAAGTCCAGGACTCAAACCATGGCCGACCATGTGGGAGTCCAGCACCCTTAACCATCACGCCACCTGCTGGCCCAAGAATGAGATCAATTCTTTTTTTTTTTTCTTTTTTTGGAGAGGTTTTTGCTATAGGGCGCATGCGCTCGCCAGACAGAGAGACAGAAAGCGAGAAATCACCCCCCAGGGGGGATGGCCACACTACAATCCCTTCTCCTCCATTCTCCTCTCAGGATCTTCGGCACGCACACGTGCCTGGTGTGGCCATCCCCCCCCAGGGGGTGATTTCTCGCTTTCTGTCTCTCTGTCTGGCGAGCGCATGCGCCCTATAGCAAAAACCTCTCCCCAAAAAAAGAGAGAGAGACAGACAGAGGCAACGTGCATGCTGCAGTCCCCTCTCCTCCATTCTTTTCTCAGGATTTGAGGCACACCTGCCCACTCACTTGGCATTGTTTTTCAAGTCGCCAGGTCAGGACTCAAACCACAGAATCGATCATGTGGGATTCAGTGCCTTAACCAGCACGCCACCTGCTAGCCCTATTTATTTATTTTTAGGCAAGGTCTTATGTCCTGATTTTCCTGCCTCAGTCTCCCTGTCTGCTGGGATTGCAAGCACATACACAGCCTTTAAAGTAGCTTACTTACAAAGGCTCGGATAAATTAGGATTTTTCTCTCTGAGGTTGACACACATCATGAAAGCAGTTTGGACCAGCAGGTGGCAGAGTGGTGACTTCTACATGGCTGACCACAGTTGCAGTCTCGGACCTGGTAGCTTGAAAATCACTCCAAGTGATGTACACGTGAGCACCAAATCCCAAGAGGAGAATGGAGGAGGAGGGATTGCGCTGTGGCCATACCCACAGCGGGGTGATTTCTCACTTTCCTTCTCACTGTCTCTGGTGCATACACTGTATGGCAAAACCTAAAAAAAGAAAAGAAAGCAGTCTTGCCCACCCACCTCACTCTTCGTTTTCAGGCCAACAGTGGCCCAGTCAAGGGGTGCAAACTGGGAGTCAGAGAGAGACTAACCTGAATCTCAGTACTGCTTCTTACAAACTATATAGCTGTGAACAAATTGCTCGATCCCCACTGACCCCCCATTTCATGATCTGTGGGAGATGCATGATAATTCCCGCCCTGCACAGTGCTGTAGTGTGAGGGTTACATTCATTAATACAGATGAGCTTGGTACTTACTTCTACTCCTTGCCAACCCACTCACACCTCTGGGTACACACACACACGGATGTGCATGTGCACATGCACACAGCAACACCGGCCTTTTCATCAGGGCCCAATAGACTGGTTTAAACATCATCCACGGTTCATTTTCCATTCCCTTGTCTTGGATTGCTGTTGTGTTGCCAATAGAAATAGCTGAGACTGGGTCATTTATAAAGAAACAAATGTGGTGGGTAAGGCGACTGAGTCCAACATGGCCAACTATATGGTTTGAGTCCTGGACCTAGTGGCTTGAGAAACGTGGTGGGCACATATGCATGCATGCCCAAAATCCTGAAAGGAGGGTGAGATGGAGAAGAAGGGATTGAAGGGTGACCCATGGGGATGCTTTCTCTCTTCTCTCTCTCTCTCTCTCTCTCTCTCTATCTCTCTCTGTTTCTCTCTGGCAAGAGCACATGCCCTCTGGCAAATTTTTAAAAAGGAAGAAAGAAAAAGAAATAGAGGTTTATTTAGCTTACTGTTTGGAGGTCCACAGTCCAGGGCCAAGGTCTGGCAAGGCTACAATACAGCAGAGGGCAGGACCTTGAGCTGAGTGTCTGTCTGTAAGCTTTTCCTAGTCCTGGTCTGTATCCAGGTGGGCTCTGCCTGTCTTATTTCCTCTTATAAACACTCTAGAGCTCAATCATGATGCCCTGACTTCATTACACCCAAAAGCACCATCCTTGGACACCACAAAAGGAGTAAGTTTTCACTTAACGTCTTTCTAAAAATTTATTTAACTTTATTTATTCATTTATTTATTTTAATTTGACTAGAGAGTGAGAG